GCTTCCCCAGGATTTCCGCTCGGGTCTTCGTTATCGCGAGAATCGAATCCAGCCACTCGAGAAGCTCTTCGTCTACATTTCACTGGTTCGAACGCTCCTCTTCGAGCCTCTGTCGTTTCCCGATGAATCGACTTCCGTCTTCGACGGAAGTAAATTGCTCCACACCGCTCGTTCTATTGTCTGTGCCGGCGTTTAAGCAATTTCTTCGAAATTAGCGGCTGCGGTACAAACTTCGGAAGGATCGAACTGTTCAGGAATCGCTTGGAACGATGATTTCATTCTCTGTCGTAAACTTTTATCGTTGCTTCTTGAAAGATTGAAAAGTTTCGACAGAAAGCTTTCAGGGAATCAAAAGCAACTATGTTTGTCAGCATTAATTTCTTTACTTGCCTGGTCCAATTACTTTTAACTTTCTTCTTGCAAAGAACTCGAACGAAGGCTTACGAATAAATGAGCAGACAAACTTTGAAAATCTATCTTGAAATAGAAAATATTGAAAGTGGACATCCTAGCAAGGACATAACACTGTTCTCCACAAATTTCATCTTCAAGCAATCCAACAAAATTCTTCTAAAAAAAATCAACAACTCTCTCCATTCCTCGCAGTGATCACAGTCAAGCATTCCAGCTACGTCATCCTTCAAACTTCAGGCTTACAAAAATGTCAGAAGACAAACTGTGAAAACGTGTCGATATTCTAGCAAGGACAATCACTGTACTCCACAAATGTCCTCTACATGTAATCCAACAAAATCCCCCTAAAAAAAATCAGCAACTCAGTGATCTGGATCAAGCATTCCACCTGCGTCATCCTTCAAACTTCAGGCTTACAGAAAAGTCAGAAGACAAATTATAAGAAATATTGAAAGTGAAAAGCTGCCAAGGATATAACACTGTTCTTCACAAATATCCTCCTCAAGCAACCCAACAAAATTCCCTTAAAAAAAAATCAACAACTCTCTCCATCCTTTACAGTGATCACAGTCAAGCATTCCTCCTGTATCATCCCTCAAACTTCAGGCTTACAAAAAAGTCAGAAGACAAATTATAAGAAATATTGAAAGTGAAAAGCTGCCAAAGATATAACACTGTTTTTCACAAATATCCTCCTCAAGCAACCCAACAAAATTCCCTTAAAAAAAAATCAACAACTCTCTCCATCCCTTGCAGTGATCACAGTGAAGCATTCCACCCTCGTTCCACCTGCACCATCCCCATCAATCTGTCATATCTACTCGATAACAGTAATTCGTGGAGCAACAAGCGTCGAATCGAGCCTAACGAACAGGGTCAGGTCGCGAGGTCCACCAGACAGGGTAAATCAAACTCTCTCTCATCGAAGAGAACTTACACTGGCTGAATCTCTCCCTCTCTCCCTCTGCTCTCTCTCTCTCCCTCTGCTCTCTCTCTCTCCCTCTGCTCTCTCTCTCTCTCTCTCTCTCTCTCTCTCTCTCTCTCTTACCCCCAAAGCACAGTCGCCCATCCCCACCGACGCCTAGCTACCGGACCGAGGCAACCCCCTCCCCCTGAGCCACGCTGCTGTCTCGGCCTGTCCTGACAGAGCGGAACCAGTCGCAGTTCGAACCCCGAGGAGTCTAACAGAAGGAGAACCCGATATCCTGGACCTCGCCGACGATAGGCACGACGTGAACGATCGTGCCGAAACCCTTGGCCATGATATCGGCCTCGGAAGCATGCAGGTGGGTGAATGGATACAGTGAAAGAGAGAGAGAGAGAGAGTTTCTGGATGGGTGGAATGGGTGCTACCGTGGGGTGATGTCTCCAGGTCACGTTGAGTGCGTTTCTTTTTTGGTGAAACTGGGTTGAGAATTTTGGTACGATGTTTTTGTGGAAGTTTCTTCAGGAGCTGAAGTTTGATTGGAGCTTGTTTTGTGGAGTGGTAATTTAGCGGGTGTTTACTTTTTTTATGGTTGTTGGTTAACTTTGGTAGGATTTAGGCTTCTCTTGGGTTGGAAACTTTGGTTATGTATTTTTTACTTAATTTTTGGTATAGTGGGTAATTTTTTACTGGGATCTTCTGCGTGAAGTGGAAATTGAAATCTTCTCTTTTTTTTTTCATTTTTAAGGATTTAGGTCACTTGGGGTTGAGAACTTTAGTACGGTATTTAACTTTCATTTTAATTATTGTGGAATAGGAAACCCTTTATTTTTATTTTTCTTAGAATTTGGGTAATTTTTTACTGGGATCTTCTTCGTGAAGTGAACAATTGAGATCTCATCCTCTTTTTCTTCATTTTTAAGGATTTAGGTTTCTTGGGGTTGAGAACTTTAGTACGGTATTTAACTTTCATTTTAATTATTGTGGAATAGGAAACCCTTTATTTTTACTATTCTTAGAATTGTTAGTAAAGTGAAGATAGAGTAGTAAAGTGTTTGAATAAACGAAGGTGGAAATTTCGTGTGATTTTAATATTTCTGTAGAACAGTAGGTTATCAAATTTTTTCGTTTTAATGAAGATTTTATTTGCAAAGCAAAGCTGTGGAATTTCGAAGGTCTAAGCATGATATTCTTAATTCTACCTCGAGCAACTTGAACGTTTTCAATGAACACTAACTTGGAATTAAATCTTCGTTTAAAGACTTATGATAAAGTGTCTAGAAGTTCTACCTTTTCGAGCAAAATTGTTACCTATTCAAGATGATATCGCTACAAGAGGATCCATGTTTGAAACGAGCTCCCCTTTCCTTGGATCCCAGATAAACTTGGGAAGTTTATTCATTTGTGTTTGCTTGATATCCTTGCTCGTTTGCTATCCTTGTTTGCAATCTCATTAGACAAGAGTCAGAGGTGAATCTTCTCCGTCGAACCCTGAGATTCGCCTCATATTTTCTCCATCAATTTTATTCACCTTAAACAGGAACACTTAAATCCTCATTTCATTGCTGAATTATTTCCAAATTTTTCTGATAAATTTTCAAACCACGATTAAATGCGGCAATTAAATTTCCACAATACTTTTCTCCCAAAATCCCTCTCAAATTTTACACTTTTGAAGGATGCAGGAAAAATATTGAAAAAAGCCATCTTCTCAATATTTCCAAATTTCCTATACCTGAAAATTCTCCACTACGTTGCTCTCCTTTTTCCGCCATGGTAGTTCGACGCTTCGAAGGGATGAGAAATTGTCTCGAAGGGTCTTCCCTCAAACGGACCACACACTTTCCCCCTTGTCATCACACCTCCTATCAAGGGATTCGCCAGATTCCCCACGATAGCGTCCTAACGACGATCAAGAGGGTGGATTTCCGGGGCCTCGACCTCTCGGTTACACAGAAATCACAGCGAAACGAGGAAGTGTCTTCGATAACGACATTCTTTGATCATTCTCTCCAAAGCTCTGAGATGACGTTGCACGGTGTTCGAGTGAAAAGGAGATGGATTGGTTCGTCGCATAATGAGATCTCTCCCCTAGTGTCGCGAACAAACGAGCGAAATTGCATAAATACCTCGCGCTCCCTTTCAGAGCATTCGAGGCGTCGAATCTAAAGACACGAATGACATCTTTAATTAATATTTCAGTAGTATCTTTTACGTCACCCTCAACATTTCACATTTTTTCTGTGAAAATATTTTCAGAATTCTCATCCGAGCGAAATATTTCAGTACTTGAAACTTCATGCGTTTATTTACCCTTTCTTCTCTAGTGAATCGGCATTTATTCGGGTCAAAGTAAATGAGAAAAATGAAAAATTCAATTTCAATGCAAGTCGCAAGTTTTGTTTTTCGTTGTATACATAGTTTTGCAATCGAGAGTACCCTGTGGCGCTTTTATACCTGAAAGGACGAGGCTTCGATTAATACGTGCCCCCAGCAACCCTTAACTTTTCCATTAGGCTAACTTTTCCATCAGTCCCTTTAGATAGCTAACTTTCCGGTCGTCAGGGTGGAATTAGTAATCGAGCCTCGGCGTAGTTAATCGTTCTCGTGAAATTTTCATTTCACTCCGAACATTCTCGAATAATTGTTCGATGAATAAAGGAACAAACAGGGAGGAACTATTCTGAGGAGTTTCAACTTCTGGAACAATTTTCACAGAGGTGATCGTGATCTTTGGAAATTGATAGTTGAAAACAAGTTAATCAGAAATCGTTGACATGTTTTTGAAACATCCTTTGAGAAAAGAAGTGCATAGAAAAAGGTACCGTGAAAGAATCATTGTATAGGGTGTACCGCAAAGTTTCAGGACCTTCCTCGAATTGGAAACAAATTTGACAGTATTTAAGCGTGCTTGAATTTTGCAAAAAATTTATTTACATTTCGTAGATCAGAGTTTCTCTATCTATTTTTCGCCATAATTCGTTGTAATAAAGAGTATTTTAAAAACGCTATAGTTTCATTTAAAGAAACAATAGAAAACGTTCATGTAAATAAGAGAAAATTTTAAATTTTTAAATTTAGGAAACAAATCTGAGAAAAATCTTGCACAAATTTAATTTTACGAAATTTTTGCACACTTAGATATAGTTCAACCCTGAAATTTGCTGGCGACCCAGAAAATCACGATCTCTCACAATCAACAGTTAAGAAACACATCCTGGATACTTCTCCGTAACTTCTCCACAGAAAGTCCTTCGAAAAAATCGAAAAAAAAGAAACTTCCGAAGCGATAAAAAGAAATAGGAAACTTAGAATTTTGTAAAGCTCCATGAAAATCTGGAAATTTCCTGGCGACAGGCTTTACGCTCGAAGAAAATCACAATCCCTCGCAATCAACAGCTGAGAAACACTTTCTCGATATTTCTTCTCCCTTCGGCTTAACTTTTCAATAAGAGACCCTTTCATGAGAATCGAAAGAAATCTCAGAAGGAGGTGAAAATAAAAAGAAAAAAGAAATAGAGGAAAAGAAAGTTAATTTTTCGAGAAGTCGAGCTCTCGGCGTTTCGTAATCGACGGTTAAAAATGTATCGATGTCAGGTCGCTATTTACACGCGTGTCGAGGCGTCGCGACGCGGAAAAGCAGCCCCCTTTTTCCTTTCCTTCATCGACCGTGCCATGTCAAGGCCATACCGTAGCAAGATCTTTCAGTCACGGTCACGAACATCGTCGTGTGTCTGTTCGACACGCTCGGCAAATCATCGGTCACGATTATGGCCTCGCCGTCCAACCCCTAGCTACCTGCCCCCACGAATTTTTAATGGATTACGCGAGCTAACGTTCGCTCAGCCTTTACCCTGCTCGTTCCCGGCTACTAGGTCGAGATAATTTAGTAATTTAGGGGATTTCTCGACGAAGGGTTGGATTTAGAAATGGCAATTAACTTGGGAAGGAAAGGGGATGAGGTTCGCCTCTGAGCTTCCATCATTTTCATATCAGACAAATATATCACGAGTTGAAGGATTTATGGAAATCGTTGTTAGTTGCTTTCTTCTATATTTCTGTTTACTATCGTGAAATTATTTCCACGAGACTGGTAGTAAAAACATGGACACTAGGGCTGAAGAAATGAGAGAAAGTGTGGTTCTTGTAGCAATGCTAGAAAGGATGTGAAATTTTTTCCACGAAATTGGTAGGGTTGAGAAAATGATAAAACGTGTACAATTTTAGAAATTATTTAGTATAATTCTTATAGCAATGTTAGAAGAAAGATAGAAAATAGGATTGAGGAATTTAGAAAGATTAGTGTCCCTTATTTTCTTCACTTTTGAAAATCAACTTCCGAGGAGCAAGGAATTTTGAAATTTTACAAGTTTCATTTAAGTAATTAGCTGTCCTAATTGTGAACCGGTGCTTCGAAAATTGTATTTTAATTTTAATTTTCGGTATATTTCGTTGAAGTACTTTAGCAGTGTTATCCGAGAGAGGCTTATAACGAGGAAGGAAATGAAATTTCCTCCGGCTGCTTCCTCTGATGTCTCCAATGATTTACTTTAATTTATCGCTACTCGTAAATTGACAATATTTAATCATCTCTAGCTAAAAACCTTACTCCATATTAAAATATTAGCGAAGCAATTAAAATTCAATTAAACAAAATCAAGTGAAAGTGTCTAATCTGTTATTCTTTTAAAAATATCGTAAAACATAGCACTTTAATATAAATTTATGTTATCATTCATAACAAAAGAATCGCAGATTTAATGTTAACCCTTTCTGTTTTAACGCTAACACTTTCAACTGCGTTAAGTTACAACAGTGACAAAAATATTTCAATATTCACTTTTATGTCAGAAAATATTTAAAAAAGTGTCAGCGATATGAGACAGTGTACTTACGTGTACCATTAATATTTTTTCGTGATACATATTTGCACCTGTAGTCTCGAAAGGGTTTACCTATGAAATCTCTATTTCTACCAATTTCAGCAACAGACAAATTCTAATTTTCATAACGACGCTAAGAACACTCGAAAATGGGGTTGAAAAGTTTACAAAAATTTGCTTTACGTACACATTTAAACGTGTCCAATCTCCGTTTAAACAAATAATCTTGATAATAATTACGTAGTTCGGCACAACACGGTGTGTGCAGCGTGGGAATTGCGAATCGATGAACGAGGGAGGATACAAATGAATACATTACAAACGCAGCGGTGTAATTGCAGTATAAATTGCTGTTGCAAAACTCTGCCTCTGTTTTAAATGATTTCACTTTACAAGTGAAAAAGAGAGGGAGCGAAGAGAATTGTTCGAGCAACGCAGAATGTTTAATTCACTTTGCATTATTCAGCTCGTCGTAAAA